GTTCCCGACGCGCGCCCTTAGCGCGCGTCTGTAGATTACGTAAGACTTAACATCTTGTATTCACAACGTATCTAGTCTAATCCGATATATCGGTCTGATTCAGCTACTGCGTGAAACACGCAAGATTGTTCTATCTGTAGCCACCGGCTACACGCAAGTACAAGAGAAGCGAATGAATATTTCAAGGAGAGACTAAAAGAAACTTGGACAATATTGGATCTTGGAGTACCTCGCCACATAGTCGGTATTGCGATAGATTGGGACTACGCAAATAGGAGGGTATTTTTGTCTCAAACGGTACTCATCGACAGATTGATATCGCAATATGGCCAGACAGACGCATCACCTCTGGCGGTACCAATGGAACCTGGCCTAAAACTACGACGGTCGGATAGATCAGGACTTGGGCAAGAAGATCTGGAAAAATTAGCACGTATCCCTTATCGCAATCTAGTTGGCGGTCTACTGTGGCTTGCGGTATCCACACGTCCTGATATTCAGTACGCCGTACAACAGTTATCTCAATTCTTTGATTCGTACTCGCATATTCATTGGCATGCCGCAATCCGCGTCGTTCGATACTTAAAAGGGACACGCAACTTACGTCTGGTCCTGGGTGGAGATGCACCCATTGACCTTACTGGCTTTACCGATTCGGATTGGGCCAATTGTCTGGACACGCGCCGCAGCATCGGAGGATATGCATGGTCGATGGGTGCGGGGGTGGTATCGTGGGCAACAAGGAAACAGAAGACGGTGGCGGCCTCATCGTGTGAGGCAGAATATATGGCCGCGTTTGAGGCAGCGCAGGAGTGCATATGGCTACGAACAATGTTGACAGCTCTAGGGCATCCACCTGGAAGGGCTACGACAATCTTATGTGACAATAACTCAGCTATCAACCTTTCAGAAGATCCATTGCTGCATTCCCGGGTCAAACACGTCGACATTAAGTATCATTTCTTGCGTGAATGAGTTGGATCAGGCGAAATAACAATGCGCTATGTTAACACGAAGGACAATGTTGCAGATATATTCACTAAAGCCTTGCCTTCGACACAATTCACCCGACTTCGCGAAATCTTAGGCCTAATGTGACGAGGATTCCACGCGAGGAGGAGTGCAGCACTTACGGTGAGGAGGAGTGTTGAGGTTTGGGACAGAATGGCCACCGTAAGTGTGCCTTGAACTCGACTCGTCACAGATATCACACCTATTGTCGTGCTACGGACAAAGCAAAAGAAAGATATATATTGGCTTTTCGGACAGATACACCCTCAGTCGCTTATACTACAGACTGAGGGTGAGCCACTTTACAATTAGGAATTACGGACACGAGACTTACTGTACCGCTAGATCAGATACTAATTGTGTCTGTATTATTTTAGGTATAGAACAGAGTCGCTTATACTACAGACTGAGGATCAGATACTAATTGTGTCTGTATTATTTTAGGTTCTGATTATAACACTGATCACTTGCAGATTGCATACATCATGATCCTACATAAATAGCACTTGAAGGAGTGAGGAGTTGTGATATGAAGCTCAATGTGGGTAGAGATTGTGAATTTGCACAATGCACAACCAACCAACCACATGTGAAGGAAGGCCAAACGTTGAAAATTTACAGACCTGAATGACTCTATATAAGCAGAGAACCAATAAATTTAAATGCTGAAACTAACACAACATCACATAGGGAATTTTGATCACACCATGAGTCACTTAACACTGGTAGCTACTTGTCATTACAGCGACATGTATTGGACTTTGATAGAGTGCATGAAACCAGAAAATGAGAGAGTATGCATGGAAGGTTTCCATAAAAGAAAGATATCAAGAAACTGAGGTTGCAACGAACACGTGAATCCCGAGGAAGAATGGAACGACCGAGATAAGACGAGAGATTGGATTGCTGAACCAGCAAAAATGGAGTCTGTGGGGATTGAACCCACGACCTCACGCAATCTCTTTATGCGAAGCGCGCGCTCTACCACTGAGCTAAGACCCCTTGTGCTACGACTAGACATTTTAAGGTGATAGAAGCCACCTCGGCCATGTATGTCCCTGAGGTTTCAGGAATATCGCAGCTTTCCTGTTCACAGCAAGTTTCCAGCAGGATTCGGATATGGATCGTAGTAATATGGGCAAGAATATCCGTCGGTACTAACAGGACGACAGATCACCAGCATCCTCAAGGAATTTGATTGCGTCATTTCGGGCGGACTGACTCTTCTCGAAGACGGCCGAGTTGGGCTGTTTCTCGCCATAGTGCACATAGAATTTTACATTATTTCAACGTAAGGTAAAAGCGTTCTTCATAGCAGGAGTGGGTCAAATATGATGAAAGAGCGATGTGTGATTCTGGTATTGAAGCCAAGAGATCATGTTTCCGATTGAGAGTCTTAGGTCAGCTGCCAGTTGGGCCTGTTGAGTCTGTACCTATTCGACTTCACAGTCTCCATCTACTTGCTCTCAAATATCCATCAACCATAATGGCAAATCGCGCACTCAACGATGAGGAGGTGCTACAACAGATGAACAAGATGGTATGCAGAATTCAACCATTCATTAAATTACCATTCCGACTCTGATCATTATACCACTCATTTTGGTATATCTTTGCAATTGTGGACGAAACGTCATAGGTTGCCTTCATCAAACAAGAAGCGCTAGAGAAAGCCAGAGAAATTAGGGTAAAGGCTGACGAAGAGTTTGCGATTGAGAAGGTACAGTTAATAAATGTTAAATCCAGTGTTTGTAATCCGGTGCTTCATTGCGTCCCAGGCCAAGCTTGTGAAGCAGGAGCAGCAAGCTATCGATGCTCAGTATGAGAAGAAGCGAAAGGGCGCCGAAGTCGCTCAGAGGATGTACGCATTGCCACGAATTCTAAACCTTGTATCTATCATCGAGACCTTGACCTCTCAGCGCACAATCCACACTGACCAACAAGTCGCGCCTCAAATTACTCCATCGCCGTGAAGAGAATCTACAGGATCTCTTCTCCGAATCGCGTGCTGCGGTAGTTCAGCTTTCAAAGGACGAAGGCCGCTACGTTCAGTTCCTTGAAGGTGTCATCGTTCAGGGCTTTCTTCAGATTCTGGAGCCCACTGTTGTAATATATGCCCGGCAACAAGACGTAGACGTTGTTAAGCAAGCGGCATCGAATGCACAAAAGTCGTACACTGAAATAAGTGGGAGGAATGTTGAGTATGAGGTAGAAGGGTCTCTAAGTGATGACGCGTGAGTGCTTGACGGTTCTCTTCATATGTTTAAACTAAGACACACGCGTCATTCTTAGCGCTGGTGGTGTTAAGCTGGTCAGTGGCTCGCGTCGAATCACTCTCGATAATACCCTGGATGAACGTCTGCGGCTGCTTGAGGGCAAGGTGAGTTGTGTCTTCCTTTTCATGTAGCATGCTACATGCATCCTGATATCATGTTCCTCAGATGCTTCCTGAAATCCGCAAGGACCTCTTCGGCGCGAATGAGAACAGGAAATTCTACACATAAGCAATGTATACCACGCGCCAGTACTAGAACGGACATTTTTGTTTTCTTTCTTTATAACAGAACTCGCAAGAAGATATTCGCCGGTAACATTAAGTCTTATCTTTTCACTCTGTCACTTCCAAGCTCGATCCGGTACCCAACCTTATACAGCGCAGCCTCTTGAGGCTCAAGCCAAAAGTTGGGAGTATGAATGGATCAAATGAGGAGTAAGATACGTCTACCTCCCCTGAGATTAGCAGACAATTTCACAAACAACCTCGACTGGTATTTGATGCTGCCAGCCTATGACGACTTCTGTCCATGGGTTATAATCTCATCAAGTATAGAACCGTGAGCGACGTGCGACGTGATGGGATACACCACGATTAGGACTGTGATCTTTATTGATCAGAGTCCAGGTCTTCTCATAACGTTGACCCTTGAGTGAAGGATACTCATCTACTTTGTCTGGTGTAGTAGGGCCGGTGGAACCAGACCACTGCGGCTCTTAAAAGGCACATCCATATCTGAATCAGCTCTAATAACTCAGACACATGGTTCTATCTATACATTTCCGTGACAATTGATACCTGTTGTAATCTGCAGGCTTGCATCTGGTCTGTTTTACCAAAGTTTTGCGTTACTTCTCGCTGCCTTGTTCAAAACTTATTCATACACCTCAGTGCGCTCCTTGTGACGCAATTTGTTCTTTCAAAGAACATCTCCATTCACTTCTGAACGATTAATTGACATCCCCCAGTATACTTGGCTACCCAGGCTGTAAACGTCTTCGCCCTGTCCAGAAGAGCAGATCAATTCCGCCATTGCAAGATCTGAACTTGTTATGAATATAATTCTAGTATTTCACTTCATTTGATGTTACATATTAGAAGAGACTAGCTTTGAACAACGTTGCTAGCGAAGATCAGCTAGAAAAAGGAACCTGGTTTGGTGATCGAAAGAGACAGGCATCTCAATCATCCGTACGTCTACTCGGTGGAAATAATAATTACAAGTACGCAATACATGAAGGAAAAATATACCATAGCAGGAAGAAAAGCGTGAACGCTATTGTGTCCAAAAACCACGACTGATAGTATGCCAATAGTGAACGACAAGGACGAAAAATCCAGCTCATCCGCGACCCCGTCCGTCCAGCGCGGGATCAACAATCGAAATTCCTCAAGTTTTCACTGGCATCAAGTTCTCCTTGTCGCCAAACATCTCATGCACAGGGTTCTTCGCTCCCTTCTTTACACCTGACTCTCCTCCGATTCCAAACCCAAAGATCTTCCTCTCTTTTTTAGTGTCCTTTGTTTCCGAGGGCGTCTCAGGATCGATCATCTCAAAGCTCACATCACTCCACTCCTCCGGCATCTGCTCAAGCATAAGTGGTGCATGGGGCTTTATTTTCATTCCGTCACCCGTCACATCCAGGCGGATGGGTGACTCTGCGATTGATGATAGAAGATCTGTATTGTCGGTTTTTGAGAGAGTGCTGGACCTGAGTGCTGGTTGATTCGCACGACGTTCCGCGAACGCGGCTATGGCGCCTCCCGCAGTAGGCGTCGGTAGTCGCATTTTTGATGCACTAAAGGAGGATGAGGATGAGGGCAGAGTGAGTCCTAACCCGACTGAGTCGAATTTCGACACAAATGCTGCAAGTGCCCGGCGTTCTTCCTCCAGTGTCGTTCGTATCTGCATGTCTCTCATCAGAAATGAAACCAAAGAAAGTACAGGAAACATACCTTCTTCTCCTTTTCAATCTGCTTCACCAGCTCTTCGGCCCACCGCTCCTTCTCCTCCCTCTTCTTCACCTCAGCCGCAAGTTTATCCTTCCACTCCTTCTCCACATCTTCTCTAACTTGACGCAAAGGCTCTCCAAGGTTTTCCTCATACCCTCTTACAACAATCTCGAGTTCCCGGATAGTCTTACTCTGCTCTTGGAGCAGCTGGTCCTTGTCATTGTCCGTTGCGCCGATGGGCAAAGGCGGCCTTGCTTCCAACGCCGCTTCGAGCGAGAGTATTTGCGTTGCCTGCGAGTCAAGTTGTAGGCGCGCAGAAAGGAGTTCTTGTTGGAGCTGAGATATAATTTTAGGCAAGAACCAAGGGCAAGGAGGGAAAACATACTTGGTAAGGAGACATATCAAAGTCGAGCTTGACAGGGCTCGCCGGGCGACTGTCGTCACCCTTTGAATCGCTGACTGTCTGGCTTGTCAGGATCAGCTTCGTCAGTTGTTTAATCCGCGAATTGAGATCATTCATTGTCTTGGATTCATCGATTTGCTGATATTAGTGGACTTCCATCAGGATAGCACAATAAAGAGGAAGGAATGACGAACTTCGCGCGCAGAAAGTCTGCGGTTCCGGGCAGGTGCCTCAGCCTCACGCTCAGAGAGACGACGCTTGAGGTCTTCAATCTCCTTCCTGTACCGTTCAATCAGTGCGTCAGTGTCAACAACCTCCTTCTTTTGTGCATTCAGCTATGGCGAATTTCAGCGTGACGTTTTTTATATTGGCAAGGGACTCAGACTAACCTGGACGTTCTTGATACGCTTCGCGAACTGCAGGGTGCTCATAGTCTCGGCAACGGCACTAGGCTCAGGATTGATTGTGCAAACGACACTGATGCGCGCGTTACCAGAAAGCGAAGGCTGCAACATCCGCGTCAGCTTGGAATTGCGGTAGGGAATGTGATCGCTGAATTCCTCGTTGTTCAGTAGAGGTCTAGGCAAAAAGGACAGGTAACGCACGTTTTACGCTTGGAAGCATTGTCAGCTAGGGTGCCAATGACTGTTCCAAGCGTAAGCAAGCTGTACGAAGTTGGTCAGAGATTTTTCGCGAAATGGTCAAAACGAATGACAGACCTCGTATTGATATACTTTCCTTCTCTTGTTCTGTCTTTATCAGAAGTAGCTTTCTCGGAGCCTGCGAGATCAATGAGACTCTTAAAAATGACATCAGGTCGAACGCGAAGATTGGAATACAAGGAGTTCAACGTACTAGAACGCTCGTTTGAACACTTCGTCCCCCACGCGACTGCAAACGTGGTCCGCTTGGCACAGGCGTCTGCGACCTTCCCAAACCCGGTGTTTGTGATCGTGGCCCGGGAGTGTTCCTTCCTGGTGCAGGCGTATGACGCCCGTTACCGGAGACAGGTTTCTCATCGTCATCGTCGTCGGGCACAGTACCACTTCTCTCCCTACTTTCAATTACCATACGGAACACGCTGTGACTGCGACTACTTCGTTCGTTCCAATCTGTGCACGCCGTTCGACGGTTCCCCTCGCCTCTCCGTAGTACTTCCTTTACTCCTTTAAGGCTCGTCACTACCTCTTCTCGCAATGGAGCGAGTATAACCTCGTTCCCTAGCCCACCCTGTATTTGTACAGGGTTCTTCGCCGCGCTTGTGGGAGGTGCAAGGAGGTCATGGATTGCCTCATTGTAGATTTCGAGATACGAACATCGAAGGAGATACTCGCGTTCCGGGGTCTGGCGGATGAAAGAAAAGACGTCGCG